ATATCCAACACCTCAACTTCAATTTTTTCAAAATTAAAATAATGACATTTTAGAAGTGATATGAAAATTTTGGATGGCATAGATATACAAAGTTTCGGCGTTAGATATGTAAGTGCTCTTTTCAACTATTTATCATTCTCATGGGTTCATTAAATCATGCTTCCATTTGCTCATCACTTCCTTTAATTGCTTCACTTGGCATTGGATTTTTTACTTCAGATTTCTTGGTCGGCCACACAGCACATTAGCAAAATCATATCTTTGGCCATTACTCTTTTTTATTATACATAATATTTGAATAAAAAAAAAATACAAGTACACCTTTTTGTATAACAAGCAGAGGCTCACAAATTAATATCCCCCAAAAAAAAAAAAAAAAAAAAAAAAAAAAAACAAGGGCATTTATGTAAATACCACAATTCTTATGTATTTACATATCTAACACCTAAACATTTATATTTAGGTGCATGACACTAAAATCTCAAGCATTACATAAAAATATCACAGATAGTGTATTTAAAAAAGTGAAAAATACATTTCCATTCATAAATTTATGACGACAAAGTGTCAAAGAGCTTAATAATCAAAGTTTGCAAGTTAGATATGTAAATACATAAGAATTTTGTGCAATGCATGAAAATTCCCCACATAAAGAAGTGACCAGAGCTCACTAACTGCCACAAAACAAGGGCAAACGCACCTTAAGTTTTAGAGCTGGGTAATTTACATACATAGCACTTAAGTCATATGTATTTACATATCTAATACTTGTTATATTTTAATTTATGACTCACATTTATTTTAATAACTTATGAGATTTATTTTTGATAACTTAAGTTATTAATTTTCATAACTCATAACTTATGTCATAAATTATGACAACTTATGATATTTATTTTGATAACTTAATTTATTTATTTTCTTAACTCATAACTTATGTCATAATTTATGATAACTTATGATATTTATTTTTGTAACTCTATAACCCCTAAAATAAATAAATGTTACTAACTTATGTCATTGATTTTATTAATAAAAATCAATTAATTTATTAAATTATCATAAATCCTATTGGTTAGTAACCCCCTTGATGGATGGTGGATAAATAGAGCATGAATTTGAGAATGGGTCCTCTCTCTACCCAACACACCTCGTACATTTCTCTCCATCAGAAAGTACAGAAAGTTTTAAGGGATTAGAGAGAGAAACTCCATCTCTTCAAGATCAAATTTGTTCATCATGAATACAGGTATGCGTCGCTTTATTTTTACATATGTAAAAATCATGAATTTAAAAGATCTTGGCTATTATGTACTTTTCTTTTGTAATTTGTGTATAAAGTTGAAACATGAATTTTCTAACAAACGCTCCCAACCACGCACGTCAACGTTGCTTTAATTCCACACGCACGCCCGACCTGTCACGTATCGCTAGAAACTCGAAAGCGACTGTATGAGTTAAAGATTATTAATGGCTTGAAAATTAATTCAAATTTTAATTCAGTTATTGATTAAATTGAAATAAATGAGTCGAGTTGTGAGTTAAAATTTTGGATTGAATTTTTTCAAGTCTATCCGAGCTCAGGTCAAACTCAGATTTAACAGTCAGGGGCGAAACCTGTCTCTTTTTTGAGAGAGACGAACTGTCCCTTAAACCCAATGTGGGAGCGACTAGGACAACAAAGAACAAAGTGATATACATCAAAATGGGTGAAAGAACAAATTGTCCTTTCATATAAGTAAAAATTTGAACTTCATGAAAATTCTGCTTATAATAACAACCTTAGTGATGTTAGGACTATCAATTTAATAAATATAGCTCGAAAAATTGATTCTAATTTTAGCTCGGATTTAGATTAGAACGAAGTGAACAAGCAATGCTACGAGCTAGAATTTTAGACAGATTCTTTTGAGCCGTTTTTTTGCTGACTCGGCTATACGCCAAACCGGCCATAAACGGTCCCATCAATAGGAGGAAAGTGGCTACAGGAACAGACACACAATATGCCGGCGGGTAAATGGGATGAAATAAAGGAAGGAATTCGAAGCGCGCTCGTGGTTCTGTTCATTCCACTGTCGGTCTTTTTGGTTCTCCTCCTCCTCGGGAGCGACGGTCTTGAATTCTCCGACAACTGTCGACCTTAAAAATTTGCTTCCATTAGGTTTGCATCCATTGCTTGAGTCGAAAGGATTGCTTTTTCTCTCCCATTTTTACTTTGTTTTTTTTTTTATCTCCTGCATGAATTAGATCTCCTGTTCTGATGATTTTTTTTTAATGATGCTTGAATGTGGTTGAGGTTGGAAGTTTCGAGTTTCTATTTCTTTCCAATCTGGTTTTAAATCTTTGCTGCGTTTGATTTTGGGTCTGAACCCGTCTGTTCGATGGCGGGATCACAGGCAGGTTTTCTCGATGATTTTAGGGTGTTCGAATTCTGAACTGTTGATTGGGAATCGCTTTTTCAATTTGAGGAGTATACGTGGAGTCCTTTTATTTTTGTGTGCAACATTTGTTTAAGCGAATACGGTACTGGTTTTGTTTAGATAGGTAAGCACTGAAATCTGATGCAGGCAGTGTCTGTATATTAACGCTATACAGACATTGCGAAAGATGAAGAGACTAGATGTGTAAAGTTGGATACTATTTTTTTTGGGGGCATTTACGTGCGTACCACACAATTCTTATATATTTACATATCCAACACTAAAGTTTTTGTCTTGATATGCAGAGCACTCAAATTTTTGACAGTACATAAAAAATGCACTATTATTAGCTTTTTAAAAGTGAAAAATATCTTTTCCTGCATAGATTATGGCACGCAAGTGTTATGAATGTAAATATCAAACTCTAAGTGTTATATATGTAAATATATAGAAATTTTGTGGCTTGTATGTAAATTTGACTTTTTTCCTTATTTGTCATTAATGGCGGCTTTAGGAAGTAGGATGGAGTAGGACATGGATAAAGATAATTATAAATTTCCATCCGAACATGAGGCAATCATGATATGATGGTTGGCTTCTCTTCTATATTATTTTCTTCTCTAAGTATAAATTTGAATTATTATGCACAATAATGATATTGATTTTTTGAATTGAATTTTTAGACAATAATTACAATGGCATTAAAGGAACCTTAAAGCAGGCTTATGATACTTTATTAATTAATGACCCAAGTGCGATAAAATAAAACATATACATTGACGATTCAGTATTCAGTCAATATTGCTTGCTTTTTTTGTGTTATGCTGAATAACACTGTGGTACTTCACCTTGGCATAAATTAGAGACCAAAAAAGAATCTTTGATCAAGGAAAGATTGGTGGGTAGATATTTGCACATGATGATTTGTTTCCTGTACTTTTAATGGTTACTAGTTTCTTTTTTGTGTGAACTTGGCGCCGGATCTCCTGCCTTGTATCATAGTTTGACTGTGTCATTGAAAGTCAATTACTTGTCATCAATGCTGTTTTTGGGACGCTCATAAAATAGAAAGGGGTGTGTAATTACGCCAAACCGAGGCGTAACTACGCTGCCACTCAGCATAATTACACCATTATTGGGCATACCAATATCAGTCATTAGAAGATAGTTTAGGACACTCTTGCGCTATGGAGGCTAGTTGTTTTCCTTGGTTTTAGTAGAGTCTTTGTAAATCCTAGAATCTTCTCCATTAGTTTTTCTTTGGAGAAGATTCCTTGGATTGTTTTCTTGGTGAGTTTGGAGAGAAGAAGAGAGAGATTTCTGTGAACTTGTATGAGAAGGATCGACAAAAAAGATTATGGTATATTTATTACAAGGGGCAATTGACTCGGGTTTAAGTTTCGTGTATATTCCTACAATATTTTTCTGATCGTATTCAATGAAATTCTATGTGTTTTCATTTTTCATGCATAGTAACTAAATCATCTTCATATTCTTGTGATGTAAGAGATGTGATTTCTTCATCATTTTCTCTAGGATTTTTTTCTTAGACATTTTTATGTGCCTTGAATTTCATATTTTTATGTGTTAACCATTTGATCATAGTTTACCCCGATTTGATCAAATAGAAAGTTAAAACCCATTTTGTTTTGATTAGAATAAAAAGTTGGTTAACACATACTCACCTAGTGGAATAAACATGCTGCTGCCTGCTAGTAGGAGATTATAACCAAGATAAAGGATTAGAGAATTCTTGAAAAAACCTGCATGATTAAGTTTCATTTACTGTGATAAAAATTCTAACACGTCTTTTAACCTAAACATATGCTAATGAGGACGTTTTTTTATTGTGAACAATAAAGAGTGAACTCGCAGTAAAAATAATGATGAATCACTAGACCTGTGTCATAAAAGTATGTATTTTTCTTCTTTAAACAACTACAATACATTTGGTGCATTTTTCTTATTTATGCATTATGATTTTAGAAGCTTTCAGTTCTGGAGATCTGAACACTTCTAACTAAGCTTAGAGGTATAACAAACGAGAACTCCGCCTATTAGAAAAGTTAACAATTTTATTCGTGAGATTGATACATGAACTCTTTATCCGTATATTATTTGATTGACCCATATACTTGTGGGATTGACTGATTGTTTCGCAGTAATTTTGGGCATCAACTACCTTCGTCTTCATCACTTCAAGAAAATGAGATCATGCCATCTATTGATTGCTCTTGGGGTTTCTCCAGGTCACAATTAAAAAGAAGGTAAGAAGAGAAACCCAACCCATAGATTGTATGAAGAGATAAGGATGGAAAAGTTATGTTCCATGTGGATTCTCTTGGAAGAAGCTTACTAGTATGTTAAAAAGGGATGAAGTGATAAAATTGAACAGTTATGAAGACTTAGGCAGTATACAATTAAACATGATATTTTTTTATGTTAGTTTTTTAAATAGGTAAATATTAAGTGGTATGTGGGTAAACCCCCCTTGAAAAAATTTCACCATTTCTCAAATTAGGGCATCCTCAAATGAGTAGGTACCCCAACGTTGCTCAATTTTAAGGCGACCAAAGCAAACATAATAAACCTAACCGGAGGTTGTTGGGAGTTTTCTCGTTAACAGTTCTGCGTTTCGTATTTTAAATCCCCCCAACATTGGACAATTCCCTATCAGAAGAGAAGAAGACGACAACCTCTCTCTCCCTCCCTCCTCCTGATTCATTGCCGCGCGCACTCCCGAGACTGAGCAGAGAAATTAAAACGCACTTACAGACCACCATTTATCAACCTCTCCTTCTCTCCCATGGAGGGAATTCTCTCCGGTCGCCTAAGCTTATCCATCACTCATCCAAAATGGTTCTCCCCAGAAACCGGAATCTACAGCAGCAGGCACACCCCAAGATGCCTTCCTCAAGATGATTTTCTTGATTTGGTCTCCTTCCTCTTCTCGAGGCCTCACAGAGGTGAAACAGCCCTCATCGACTCCGCATCAGGACTCTCCATCTCGTACCCTGAACTTCGTTCCATGGTTGATAGCATCGCCTCCGGACTCCATGACATTGGAGTCTTCCCTGGACAGGCCGTCCTCATCCTCCTCCCCAACTCCATTCTTCTTCCTGTCATCCTCCTCGGCGTTCTCTCCCTTGGCGCCGTCATCACAACCATGAACCCCCTCTGCAGCGCCAAAGAGATCCAGAAACAAATGAGCAGCATCCTCCATTTAGCCCTAGTATTCTCTTTATCGGAGAAAGTTGCCGCTCTGGACCAATTTGGTGTTCCGATAGTCGCCGTTCCCAACGACTTGAGCTATGATTCGTCTCATTACTCTGTTTTCCACAAGATTGTTTCCAGCAGCCCTCGGCTTACTTGGAGGCCAGCTATCCGGCAGAGCGACACCGCGGCGATACTCTTTTCCTCCGGAACCTCTGGATCCAGTAAAGGTGTCGTTCTAACTCACAGTAACTTGATCGCCATGGTTGAGCTATTTGTTCGGTTCGAGGCTTCGCAGTATAAGAAGGAGAGTTGGAAGGATGTATACCTTGCTGCCATACCAATGTTTCATGTGTACGGTCTTTCTCTATTTTCCATTGGGTTGCTGTCTCTGGGCTCGACGGTTGTGGTGATGAAGAGGTTCGATGCGAAGGAGGCGGCTGAAACTATAACAAGGTACCGAGTAACCCATTTTCCGGTTGTTCCGCCAATAATGTCTGCTCTTATAAGGGCCCAAGATGCCCATGGCTGTGATCTGAGATCCTTGAAGCAGGCCTCTTCTGGTGCAGCTCCTCTGAGCAAGCAACTGATACAAGAATTCTTGTGGAGATTTCCCCATGTCGATTTCATTCAGGTAATCACATGAGTTGTTGAAAAACTCCATCTTCCCCAAAAGTTTTATATTCGCCTGTTAAAAAGCTCGTTTTGATTCGTTGGTTAAGTGTGCCGAGCAGGCTTTTATGTTTTGAGCTTCATTTTCTATTTTTACAGGAATTGAACACAAGCAAACAGATGCTTGTTGGCCTTCTTGGTTGTTTTAAATTAATAAATAGCCAAATAATAATATAATAATAATAATGAGAAACATCAGCTTCTCCTGTGCTTTTTTTTAACTTGCTGAAATAAAGACGAGAATTGTCCCACACTATCTTGTATTATTTTTTTATTTTTATTTATGGGACACTTGTTATATTTTTATTTATGACTCACATTTATTTTAATAACTTATGAGATTTATTTTTGATAACTTAAGTTATTAATTTTCATAACTCATAACTTATGTCATAAATTATGACAACTTATGATATTTATTTTGATAACTTAAGTTATTTATTTTCTTAACTCATAACTTATGTCATAATTTATGATAACTTATGATATTTATTTTTGTAACTCTATAACCCCTAAAATAAATAAATGTTACTAACTTATGTCATTGATTTTATTAATAAAAATCAATTAATTTATTAAATTATCATAAATCCTATTGGTTAGTAACCCCCTTGATGGATGGTGGATAAATAGAACATGAATTTGAGAATGGGTCCTCTCTCTACCCAACACACCTCGTACATTTCTCTCCATCAGAAAGTACAAAAAGTTTTAAGGTATTAGAGAGAGAAACTCCATCTCTTCAAGATCAAATTTGTTCATCATGAATACAAGTATGCGTCGCTTTATTTTTACATAGTAAAAATCATGAATTTAAAAGATCTTGGCTATTATGTACTTTTCTTTTGTAATTTGTGTATAAAGTTGAAACATGAATTTTCTAACAATACTTAGCTAAACCTCTATTTTTATTCAGAAAATACCCTAATTTCTAAGTGATACAAAAAAGAACTAACATTAACATAGGTAAATAAAATACACCTTTTCATACATATATTTCAATATCATCATACATTTTGATATCATTTAGACATAAAACACAAAAAAAATACACAATAAATATATAAATACATAGAAACTCAATACCATGCAATAAAATCCTCTAAATTTAGGGACATTTACATACAAACCACCCCAACTCCTATGTATTTGAATATCTAACACTTAAACTTTACTTTTTACATTAATACCGCCCAAATCTTTCTTATCACATAAAAGCTACCACTCTTTCAACTTACAAAAAGTGACATACACCTTTTCATGTAAAGTTCAGCTGGTATATATGTAAAGTTTATGGTTTAGGTGTTTAGACATGTAAATACACAGGAATTGAGTGGCAGGTATATCAATCTTCCTTAATAAATACTCAAATCTTCAATTCCACACAACACAGCTCAATAAAAGAAAGATGCAGCATTTGTAACATTCAGATCTACATTATCAGAAGCTGGCTGAAGCAAAATAGAGACATTGGCAACAAACTGTATTTAGCAGTATAAAACCCAAAAACTTTTAAATTAGAGTTAAGACCCTTAATCAATCGGCCTAGAGATGAGTGACTATATGATCTAACTTGTGTCGCTTTGCTGCTGCCTCTGATTCGTCGCTCCTGTTCCCCGCCAAGGCCTGGCCCATAACAAGATTGCAGGATGATGGTTCATCCTGATCCTGTGATGTAAGTTGGCAAGGGGAGTTGAAAGTCTTTTATCAGATAGCACCACATATGATTTTGGATGTGCAGGAGATACACTAAAGTAGAGAGTGGAGTAATTTATTGCAAAGCATTTCAAGGCCAAAATTGTTTTGGGGCATTTACATACATACCACACAATTCTTATGTATTTATATATCCAACACCTAAGCATTTATATTTACATGCATGCGACTCAATTCTTTAAAGTCAAATAAAAAATATTATCATCATTATTTTTTTAAAAGTGAAATATAAATTTTTATGCATAGATTTATGACACGAAGGTGTTATGAGTGTAAATATCAAATTTTGGGTTTTAGATATGTAAATACATAAGAATTGTGGGGTATTCATGTAAATGCTCCATCCTTTTTTAGGTTGATTAGCACATGAGGAATGTGCTTTGCCTAGGCAAAAATACTTTGGTTTTGTATAATCAAAGCGATTATAAACTATGCAGAAATTGAATTTGACATTTGTAATGCACCAACGTAAAATAATACCAAATCAATAAAAAACAAATATGCAGCCTAATCTTCTGTTGGTTATGAGTTTACGCTTCATCAAAGGAATAGAAAATCTCCCATAAAGTTGTAAAGAAAAGAAAAAAAAAATTGCTAAGTGAAGAAGCGGGTAAATAACAAAGTAAATTTCGTATAAAATGCAAAGTAAATGGAAAAATTATAGTAGCATATGCATGTACCTTTTGAGCAGTAATACTTGTGGAAGTATTATGTCTGCAACCACTTCTCCTCCCCAAATTAATATTCACAGAAATATTAGCTTGAGAAAGGTCTATGCCTGAATTTTGCAATGATTGGCTTAGAGTATTCAATAACCTGTACCATATTGAATAACCACCATGGAAGTTCAAAATTAAAATTTTGACTTAACATTTGAAGAAAAGTTATGCAGAATATGTCAAGATAGATAACAATGAATCGTACTTCATAAATGTCTAAACTCTAAATTCTAGGATTCCCACAATAGGACATCAAAGCAATATAAAAATCCATTCTTACAAAAAATGAAATATGTAAGCTATAGAGATTGAGAACTTCTGCCAAAAAAAAAAAAAACAATTTAATTGCAGTTATACAGACTTCCGGCTGATCGGTGAAAGAATTGACTCAAAAAATGCATTTACAAACATATCACCCAATTCGTATGTACTTACATATTTAAAACCGATACTTTTTACATTTACACCAACCAAATATTTCATATCAAATCATTATTTTGAACTTTTAAAAAGCGAGATACAATTTTTTCATGCATAGGTAAGATGGCATTACTTGTCAGATATGTAAATAGAAAAGAACTAAGTGATATGTATGTAAATCTTCCATAATTCAAACATTCATGCTTAGAGCTGAAGTGCTCAGAATAAGAACATTAGAAATAAATTCGATTAGGACAAACCCTTGAGAGTATGCATCTGACGCTCGAACTGTTTCTTCGTCGATTGTTAGCTCTTCATGTTCATCGAAAAAATAATTGCTAACAGCACAATCAACAGGAAGTGATGATTTCAGCCACTCAGAGTGGGATGCCATATCTGACATCAGTAATCCAGAAGAAGAAGAAGCACCATTTTTGAAGAGTTGAGGATCATCACTGAGATCCCCGGCGTCATGCCGATTGTTCTGTTTCACATGACATAAAAGGAGATCCATTCGGTGGATCGAGAAAGCGGCAATATATCACAAGAAAGGAAGATCAAAAGTGCAATCAAATCTCCAGCTTCTATTTTGCACACCATAGTTTTTTTTTTGCAGAATGAACTAAAGTATCCTTTACCTTCCAAAAAAAGAAAATAAATAAAAATTTTCTTTCAAAAGTGTCGAGGATATCTATACTGGTTTACAAGAGATTGGAAAGGTCCCTATGTTTTTTGAAGAACGTATTATCATAGGTTTGGACACAAATAAATAACAAAAGTGAACAGATATTGAGATCAAGAATGAATGGTAATAAAAATGACAAACGCATAATGACAATTATTGAAAAGGATAAACATTACAACATGGGCAGCAGTCAAATCCAAATGAGATATCACTTCTAATTAGCTACAAATGGCTGAGAAAGAATTATGGGAAATAATTGAAAGTAAGTCAAAATTTTTTTATTTCATTCAACATAGGTATTTAGATAGGGTCTACGATGTTTAACAAATAAACCAAATAAAACTCTCTTATTAGACATAATTCTCAACACTCTCCCTCAAGATGGGCGAAAGATATTCACTAAGCTCATCTTGTCACATAATCTAGCTAACTCAACTGAGCTATAGTTAGCTACCTACTCTCCAGTAGCTACATGACTTAATTTCAACAATCCACTATTCAGCTTCTCCATGATGAATAATTTATCAATCTCCATATGTTTAGTTCTATTGTGTTGCACCGGGTTGTTAGTAATGTTGATTGCAGGCTTGTTGTCACACTACAACTACATTTGAGTTCCCTAATCCACTTTGAGTTCAACCAACAAGTTTAGTCATATCATCTCAGCAACTCCTAATGCCATGACCCTGTATTTTGCTTCTGATGTTAATCTTGCTACAACTGAATGTTTCTTGCTCTTCCACGAGACCAAGTTGCCACCTACAAACATGTAGAATCCTAATATGGATCATTTGTCATCAACACAACTTGCCCGGTCTGAATCACAAAAGCCTTTAATATCTATATGTCCATTCTTCTTGAATACCAACCCTTTCCCTGGTGCACTTTTAAGATACCTTAGAATCTGATATACTGAATCCATATGATCCTTCCTTGGATCATACATGTAGTGACTCACCACACTTGCTGCAAAAGAAATATCAGGATGAGTGTGGAAAAAATAGATCAGGTGCCCCCCAGCCTCTAATACCTCTCACGATCAACTAATTCACCTGTCTCTGTATCGAGCTTGACCTTCTGATCAATTGAAGAGACCGCCGATTTGCACACACGCATACCTATCTCCGTGAGAAGATCCGGTACATACTTTCTCCGAGATAGAATCATCCCCTCAGACCCATGGGCCACTTCAATCCCAAGAAAGTATCTGAGCTGTTTCAGTTCCTTTACCTCAAAATTTTTTCCCAGTCTTCCCTTCGGTTGAGTAATCTTTGTCTCATCATTACCAATGATAATTATGTCATCCACGTACACAACAAGTATGGTAGTGTGACCTTCATGTTGTCGAAAGAACACTATGTGGTCTGCATTGATCTGTTGATATCTCATGTCAACTATCGTCATTCTAAAATTATCAAACCAGGCTAGAGGAGTGCTTCAAGCTATATAGTGACTTCCTGAGTCTATATACGTTGCCCACTATCTAGGATGTACAAAATTCTAGTGATATCTCCATAAATATCTCTTCCAGTAGCACTGCATGAAGAAAAAAATTCTTCGTATCCAATTGGTGGAGTCTCCATCCACTGTTCACTACCAGAGAAGCTCGTGTTCCACCATGCTTAGCTTTTCTACTAGTGCAAATATTTTATCGTAGTCAATGTCATACGTATGACTATACCATTTTTCCACTAGACGTGATTTGTACCTCTCCATCTTCCCTTTTGGAGTTTGCTTTACTGTGAAGATCCACGTGCATTCAACTGCCCTCAAACTTGTTAGTAGTGGTACAATATCCCATGCTCGATTTTTATCAAGAGCTCAAAGCTCTTCATGCATCGCAGCTTTCCACCTCGGATCATCTTTAACATCCTGCCAACACTAAAGACAGAGTCCAATGACACAATGAATGTTCCATGCAAAAATGAGATGTCAGAATAAAAAACAAAATTAGCAATGTCAAGTTCTCATCCAAAACAATTAGGAGGATGTCTTGCATTGCTGCGGGAGATCCTCCTAACGGAGGAGGAATAATATCACCTGCAAGTTTTGAATCAAGGGTGGATGGTGTAGGTGTCTCAAGAATTGGGGAAGACCGAGATAAGGGTTGTTGGCACTGCGGACTCTGTTCACTCAATTCGCTTCTTCCTCTATGTATACACCCTTAACTCACCTTCAGCTTGAATCCCACCACCTCTGGGGTCAATCTCCTCGATTTTTGTCTCCTCAGTTGATTCATCCCACATCACAGGATATGATATTGGTCCCACTCGCACTATTCCATCACCACTACTACTCACTTTCTTTTGTCTTATATCTTCAGTGGTTGTTGAATCACTAAATGGTGACTTCACCTCCAGGGAGTAATATGGTTCAAAATCTTTGAATGACAAATCTATGCTCACAAAGAGTCTATTCTCAATCAAGTAGATACAACCCTTCTGAGTAGCAGAATACCCCACAAATACACATTTCACAGCTCTAAGGTCCAAATTTCTCATAGATGGTCTGTTGTCTTTCACAAAGCATACACATCCAAATACCTTCATTGGAAGAATTTCACTATTGCCTCTTTTTCAACATCTGATTAGGAGAATTCCACTCCAATACTCTTGAGGTCATCCTGTTAATCAATTGAGAGGTTGTCAACATTGTTTGTCCCCATAAGTGTTGTGGGACATTCATTGTCATCATCATGCTCCGAGTTACCTCTAGAAGATGCTGATTCTTTCTTTCTACCACTCCATTCTGTGTTGGTGTGTATGATCATGTGATTTGATATTATATCCCTTGAGCTAACAGGTAGTCCTCAAATGTTTTGTTGATATGTTCTGTCACATTATCAGATCTCAGTGCCTTCATAACTGCCCCATATTGGGTCTAGATTGTCTTGTAAAAATCTTTAAAGCAAACAATCAGTTCACTTTTTTGTTTCATCAAGTATATCTAGGTAACACGAGAAAACAATCAATAAACATAACAAAATAACAATAATCATTCATAAAACTAGGAGGAAAAGGTCCCCATGCATCAGAATGTATCAAATCAAACACAACAAAGCTCCCATTCTCAGAATTGACATAAGTGCTTTTAATGAGCTTGCCAAACTCACAAGCATCACACCAGTTTCTTCTTATTTACCTTTTCATACATAGATGGATACAACTGACTCAGTAAACTAAGACTAGAATGTCTTATACGTTGTGATGTAGCAGTAATACATCCTCGACGTTCCTCCCATAATCTTTTATTGCAACACTTTTCACCATGGATGCTAGAGCCGAGTCCACCCCTCTCAGTCCAAGTATCAGAATCTGCTATGTTACGTTCCAATCCCAAGTATTCGACCTCTCCATTTTTCTTGGAAGATTACCCGAGAAATATTAAAAGAAATAATATATTTTAAGTGGGGAATAAAGACGTTAATAGATAAGAGGTTCATTGGAAAAGAAGAACATGAAAAACATTGGACAAAGTCATATGATTGGTACATCTTATTGTACCCTTACCAACTACAGATTATGTTGTACCATCAGCAGTCTGTATACTCTCCGGTACTGCTGGATGAGTATATGAAGAGAACTCTATAGCAGTATCTGCCAAGTGATGAGAAACACTAGAATCTATGATCCATTTTAACGATCCTGTGGTCAAAATAGAGGCAAGAACAAGTGTTTCACCAGTACCTTTGCTGAAGTGAGCATAAGTGACAATGTTACCCCTTGATATCGAAGGATTAAAAATATCGTCAGCTCAATCTCCTGTTGTTTTCTGCTTCCTCTTCAACAGCTCCAGACACTCGTGATCTTTATTAGTAAAGATCACATCTGATCCCTTCCTCGTCCTTTGCTACCATCTTATTTGCCTGGTAACCCTCTCTTCCACCTTTCCGACCCCCACGACCACGACCTCCAACTTGTCCACGTCCACCTATCCTCTCTCCTTAGATAGCGTAAGACAAGCCCCGCTCAGATGACCAACTTCACACACTTAGCGTACCTGGGCTTGCAACAGCCAATGCTGATCGTGCACTTGAAAAACCACTCGGCTTAGAGTATAGCTTCATGCGACTCTCCTCCTGTATCATTGTAGCAATAGCCTCATCTAGCTGGATTCAGATAAGCCAAAAAAATGCATAGTTCTCATCTGTGTAAAGATTCCTCCTTTCTTGCACTCTAGATTGCTACAACTCAACATCGGTGAAAAGTGATCATTTTTTAGCATTCATTCGTATTCTTTATTGTACTTCTAACCAATATAACAATATATGTTTTCTATGAAGTAAAAGTTTAACATTACCAATAACATTAATCTAGCATTTTCATCACTCCATCCAGTGGAAATCGGATCGTACTTGTGTATCTTCGCTTGTAAGAACTGGATATATTCGATAACCTGCAAAATAATGCTTATTCTATAGACTCAACAATAGAACTAATACCGGAATTTTCAAAAAGAAAGGAAACCAAATCAAAGTAGATTAGTAGAAAGATACTCACCTCCAACAGAAATGAAGCTTTATCTCTTTTCTGATCACTATTAGGCAAAAGTCCTATAAGCATTTGAAATCTGTCAAAAAAAAGGGTTAAATGTCCATTTAGCAACATTACAGAAGCAATAAGTTCAAGTAAAAGCCTAATTTTGAATTTATTTGGTTGATAGAAAATTGTAGTCTCATGAAAGAGCACTGATATTTAGTTACATCAAGCCCAAGCTCAAATTCAAATCAAATCCAAGTCACCCCAAAATATAGAGCTTTGGGAAAAGGTCAGCCATTAGTGAAGGATGATGGATTATAGTTCAAAAGTAACAGATTATCATGAAATGAATTAGAAATTATCTACCTTATTAGATAGGTTATAAAATAATTGTAATAAGATAACAAGAAATAGATGTTTTATTGAATAACTTGTAGTCCTTGTCACTTTTGCTAGTTTTTTTTTTTGCTATGAGATAGATTTTATCTGGAATTATTATAAATTCATTATTAATTGAATCATTGGCAGCTGTTTTTGTCTCTCCGTCCTATTATTTCAGATATCATTTTTGAAAAACAAACATAACTAAAGACCCACACACTATCTCTCTCCAAAATTACGCCAAAAAGGTTTGGGCATGAATCCTAGGTTTGGCTCCCAAAGCCAAATTATTTCTCCTCATTTATCCCTCGGTTTGCCTGGAAACTCAAGAAAATTCTCTTCACTATAAGTAGGAAACAAGAGGAAGGATGCTTGCATGGTAGACACCCAAAACAACTTGCATGAAAAACCGAAAATTTGCCTTTTTTATCAATCATCACCTTAGATGTCACACAACAATTTTTTAGAAAACGTTAGTTTTAAATACCCGAGAAGCCCCAACTCCATGAATTCTTGTATGTATGCACGCATGTGAGTGCATATTTGTATGTGTGTGTGTGTGTGTGTGTGTGTGTGTGCCGCTAACCGCGACTCTTTGGTAGTGCAGCCTAGCATAAATCCCCTGGAGTCACGGGATCGATCCCACCTAAGTGCACCTGCCTTGCAGTGCGGGATCGAGTAATTCGACACATGAGGGTGGTTGGGGGCTCATATCATAGTCTTCAACAATTTTTTTAAAAATATATATATACATATATTTGTATGTGTGTGTGTATCACAATATTGCCAGTTCCATATCTTTCATGTCATTATTCTTAAATCAATGTGGCAACATAATAAAAGGGTAATGTTGAATCAATTTAGTATCATAGCAGTAGTTCTATCCATAGGATTCACTATCATAGAGTATCATAAGAAATCTAAGGTCCAACCTATCCCCCTGAACTCCTAGAAACTTGAAAGATAACATGATAAGATTAGAGCAACTATTTGCTTAATTACCTGAGCAAGAAAAAATAAAATATCTTCGAATCTAGAGAGCAGTGCCTCCAAACGTTGAAGTCGCAAGATTAGACAACCAAGAGGGCACATTGAGTACCCAGAAGGACCATAACATCGGTGCCTGGGAGAACCACACAAGGTTGACACAGAACCCAATGAATACCCAAGAATACCATTCATGCATTCACGATATAATGAAGGATAACAACCATCAAATAATGAGTAAGAGATCAAGGGGCAGTAAAAAATTACAACAAATTTAACCATGCAATATGGGAAGGCAATCACCATTAAAGGTCAAGTCTGGATAAGTAATTATCCATTTTTGAATAGGCAAACGTCCTTTAAAGAGAGAAAATATAACATGATCCAGTTGTATAAGTTTAAAAATCACCAAGTGATGTCTGTTATGACTGGGCTCCAAAAATTAGCGACCTCTCCCCGAGAACTCTCTACATTTTGTTTTTATTTTGTATTTGTTAAAAGAGCTTTGAAGGGTCAAATTTTCAAAAGACAGATTGAATTGTAAATAAAACACTACCCAAAAATTTCACCCTCATTTTGCGAGAGCTTTTTGATATGGGGTTCGAGGTTTCCCATAGGCACAACCACTATGGTTAATTATCTCTCCCGATAACAAAAGAGAACTTTCGATTAAGGCTAGTCATTAAGAATTGAAAATTGAACATATAATAACAACAGACTTAGAACTTTAGTTATAAAGTTTGTCACTTGAAGCTTAAAGCGGATGGTGCGGGAATGAAGACGAAACCCGATCAAGCTCTTATTGTTCCGTCAACCCTGATCGTCATGGTCCCTGATTTACTTAGTTAGAGGATATAGTCGACACAACCTGATAGAAATATTCTTGTCAGCAGCTATGAGTTGCGTCGTTCAAAGGATCCTTATAGATCTAGGGTAGATATTTGTTTAAAGGGACAAATTTAAGTCGACCTTAACTAACAAAAGGTTTTGTGTCAATCAATTGTACCCTTACGATTCACAACTCCAATGATAGGAAGTCGTTAGGGAACATAAAGGCTGTGGTCACGACCGTAATATACTAATGTCATTTGGCGGCAACCACCCAGTCATAAGGTTCTGGTAGTAACCGCTACTTTGTGAAAACTTTGAGTCAAATCACACGGACAAAAAACTCAGGTCACGTCCTTACTGACATGCAATTACTTTGATTGTGATTATATTGATACATTTGATATGACATTCGCTCTTTGTGAGTTAAAGTAAATCAGAAGTGTATCACCCTCGATAAACTATTGGAAAGGGTGAATGAAATTTGCTTTTCAATTTTAAATGATTGAATTTTAGTTTAGTGTTTTAATTGACTACTAAGAGATTGACCCCTCTAGTTGAAATCTTAGATCAACACGACCATCATCGGGGTATTGAATATTTTAAAACTTTTATATTTGAAGTGAGACATTTAATTTTGTCAGTTCTGACTTTTAGGGTATAAGTCATGTCGACTCCTGCCCTTACAAAAAGGAGTATCAGACCAGTTTGGTGATTTAGACTTGTAAATTCTAATTTCATGGTTTAGACGTTTATTTTAAAACTATTAGACTCGTCAACTCCAGTCTTTGCGAAGAGGATGATCGTACTAGTTGGGTGAGAATTACAACTCTATCCTATAGACAAAACATCCTGATTAGTCCGCGCAACATTCTTAACCTCTTAATTAAACATTTAATATTTTGGTTGGAGTATATACGAGCTTGAGTCAATTCAAATTATTCAATCCTAAGTGTTTAGATTTAAAAATTTCAAATTTTTGGATTAATTGCAAGCCCTAAGATCTTAATTTTGAAATCTCAACTTTGGGAGAATTTAACCATCTAGATTTTAAATTTAAAAGTTTCTCATTGACTTTAATTTTAAACTTTAGAATTTCAAGTTTGAAATTCCCAGAAATTGATATTAACTTTAAAAGCCCTAAGAGCCTAAAATTTTAAAACTTTAAAATTTTGAATACATTTAAGCTTAAGGAACCTAAAAATTTTAAAATCTAAAAAATTTTAACTTATTTTAAAATTAAAATGATAAATTTTATAAGTTTGAAAATCCAGGGTTAAAAGTGGTTTCCCAGTCCAAATCACCCAAAATTCCAGCAACCTCCTGGCATCAACCCCTGTTTGGGGGCATGTGAGACTATTAGTCTTTCCAATTGCCTTAAGAGACACACTGGTTAGTGTCGTTAAATACTACGACTCGGGACCAAAAATATAAATTTAATTTGCAGTAGTTCTTCAATATACCCGCACAAAAAGATTAGATCGAAAACCCGTATTTACCAAACAATACTTTGCTTTCCCCGAACGGTATTTAATTCCCACGGATGGGTACTCGCTTTCCAACGAACAGGTGCTTTAAGAAAATCCACATTTTAAGAGATTTTTTTTCAATTGGGTTTGTTTTTCCCCGAAAGATACTTAATTTCCCTAC